ATTTTACCTAGAGTTATTGACAGGGAAAGTCTCCTATTTTTCCTTCCAACTGAATATTTTTGTAGTTGAGTGACAGCTCAGACTTGCCTTGGACCCCAAGCAATTAAGCTGTCCTGATCATTTATTTAAAAATTATGAGCATCTTTACTCAATATTACATTTAATAACTCCTTAGTGTTGTGGTCATATGAGATTTCAGTCTCCACAGTTACTAGGTGGGATGACTGATATTTTAAAAACAAAATTCCTGATGTTTGTGGGAAGGGAGAAGTCATGGTTGCCATGTTCTCAAATGGCCCAATCCTCTAGGATCTGTCCTCACCAACTGGCCTGACCCTGAAATCAGTCCACCTTATTATATCTGATCATTGTTTTTCGTGCCAAGAGAACTTAATTTATACCAAATAAAGATTATTGAAAACTAGACAGGGTACTACCAGTTCCGTCAACCTTCCTGGCAGTCTATCCAGATGACTTCATTTTTTGAACGCTGTGTTATGATTTAGGAGCATGCTTCCCCGCGGTCCTACTACTGTAGATGAATCATCCACATTCCTGTCCAGCACTCCCCTCTCTGCTTCGCACCTGATTCCATTCCCTCCCTTGACTCTAAGTTCTGGAACCAGAACTGTAATTTTTATACTAGTACTAAAGATGTCACCACAGTAAAAGCTGGAAGAATCAGAGCAAGAGGTCTAACTTATAAATCACCCACAGACCCAAGAAGCCAGGTTCAGGATCTAGAGACAGAGGTGCAGAGAGACTCTTAATGAAGACATAAATCTCAAAGTACGACAACGTATGACTTCTGGATTTCTGTTTTCTATTATCTGGAGAAGAAACAAAAGCTAATGGAACAGTAAATACAAAGCCCTGACTTCAAACTTCCAAGCCTCTACATCAGCAATCCGCAACCTTTTTGGTACCAGGGACCAGTTTCATGGAAGACAATTTTTCCACAGACGGTGGGGCGGGTCAACCTGAAGGATGGTTTTGGGATGAAACTGTTTCACCTCAGGTCATCAGGCATTAGTTCGATTCTCATGAGGGGCATGCAACCTAGGTCCCTTGCATGAGCAGTTCACAATAGGGTTCAAGCTCTTATTCGAATCTAATGCCTCCACTGATCTGACAGGAGGCGGAGCTCAGGCTGTAACAAGAGCGATGGGGAGTGGCTGTAAATACAGATGAAGCTTTGTTCTGGCTCATCTGTGGCTCACCTCCTACTGGGTGCGCAGCTGGGCTCCTAACAGGCCACAGACAGGTACTGGTACTGGTTGGTGGCCTGGGACTTGGGGACCCCTGCTCTATATGATAGCCAGTCATTTTAAAAGCACTGTCTTTACTACTTATTTATTATATGATTATATGATTACATGTATGTAATGTCCCTTCTAAATGACTATTTTCATCCCCAGAATTGGTTGCTGGAGTTCCAAGAGGAGCACAGAATTTTGGATATGTGAGTACTGAGAATACCTTAGAGGAATAAGATATTTTCTTGTACAGATGCTCCTTGATGGAATTACATCCTAATAAACCCATCATAAATGGAAAGTACTGTAAGTTAAAAACACATTTAATACACCTACCCACCACACATCATAGCTTACCTAACCTACCTTAAACATATGCTCAGACCGCTTACATTAGTCCACAGTTGGATGAAAACATCTAACACAAAGCCTATCATATGACAAAGTATTGATGTCTCAAGTAGAGTATCATATCACATATTGCTAGTCTTGGAAAAGATCAAAACTCAAAATTCAAAGTATGATTATTACAGAATGTCTATCACTTTTGAACCATTGTCAGTTGAACCATCATAATTTAATGACCATCTGTATACTCAAAGAAATGTTTAGTTTTATGCAACTTTTGGGTCTTTTAAAACACATGGACACAGGGAGGGGGACATTACACACTGGGGCCTGTCGGGATGGAGGTGGGTAGGGGAGGGGAGGGATAGCAGGGGGTTGGGGGATTGGGGAGGGAAAGCATTAGGAGAAATACCTAATGTTGATGACGGGGGGATGGATGCAGCAAACCACCATGGCACGTGTATACCTATGTAACAAACCTGCATGATCTGCACATGTACTCCAGAACTTAAAATATAATTAAAAAAAAAAAAACCTGGAGTTTTTTAAGGAGTTCCTCCTCATAATTCATGTTGCTTGCTTATGAAAAAGGAAGGAAAACAAGTCAGATTAGATTTGTTCTAATCCATGTGCAGAACCAACTATGTAATTGATGAGACTTACTGCAAAATGAAACACATGTCCCTTATTCAAAAATTGTTAAAAATTTCAGAACAGCAACAGCAGTGCATTAAACCAAGGGTGGGACCGACCTAAGCACAGGGCCTTGTGTGACTGTGCAAGTCACAACCCACAAAGCTCATCCTGCCTAGGGGCATAATCTCGGAATAATGGTGGATAATGCCATGGTTATGATGAATACCTTAATACATCTCATACAGTAGAAATAAAAGCAATTGTTATTTCCGTTATTTTAAGTAATTAAATTATTTAACCTTAAATTTAATTAATTGTGAATTTATTACCTGTTAGTTTCCTAAGACTGCTCACAAACTGGATGGCTTTAAACCACATAAATTCATTCACTCACAGTTCTGGAGGTCAGAAGTCTGACATCAAGTTGTGGGCAGAACCATGTTCTCACCAGAGCATCTGTGATAGGAGGCTTCTATCATACATGGCCCCTTCCAGCCTCTGACGATCCCTCGCATTGCTTGGCTTGTGGCAACATCCCACCAGTCTCTGCCTTCATCCCTGTATGGCCACATGTATCTTCTCCTCCTTTTATAAGGACATTGGTTGTCCTTATAAAATGATGACATCAGTTGTCCTGATAAAAATGATGGCACCAGTCATCAAATTTAGAGCCTACCGGATGATTTCATCTTGAGATCCTTAACTAATTTCATCGGCAAATATCTTATTTCCAAATAAAGTGACATTCTGATGTTCTGGGTAGACCTGAATTTTGGGGCAATATTGTTCAAACCCATTACAATGAAATTAGGAAAAGCAACTAAATAGATCTTACGAAAGAAAAGCATATTTGAAATAAAGTTCATCATTTACAAAAGTATCTAGCAAGCATCGTGGTTGGCTAAGTAGAATTAAAAGGAATATTTTTGCCATGTGGATAGCATGACAAAATTTTAAAATCTAACTTTTCTTGCAAAGAACCGTAATTATCCATTTATAATAGCATAAGAACAGAAATGGATTTAGCCAAAAATCCTCATTAAACCAACTGACTATCAAGTTAATTGCCCTCAATATTCTTGAATTCAACTTTTATTTCTCCAGTTCAGATTAATAAGCACATATTTTGTCTGAAAGCATCCCAGACTTAACCACAAACAGGAAGTTCATTTAGCTTTTTTTTAAAAATAAGATCATTCGGTGGGCTTCCATTTTTGTTTTATATTTAGCTAACCATTTATCACACTTTACAAAAAAATTTAAATGATTCAAGTTGTAATTTTTAAAAATGGCTCCAATTCTACATCAAATGGTGTAACCTGTTTAATTTCTATGATTTCAGGTTTCAATCATTAACTCTACAGATATGACCTTTATTCAGAATTTCACTGGCGAACAGGTAGAAACGTTTTTTTAATTTATTTATTTAACTTTAGGTGCATACTAAATGTTTCCAGATTTTTTAATGAATGCCAGTTAGAATGGCAATCATTAAAAAATCTGGAAACATTTTAATAACAAAGAAGTAAAATCACTCTGGGTTATTAGTAGACTATAATATTTATATCAGTTATTTATCCATTCAACAAATATTTAATGAGCAACTACTATGTACTGGAAACTGTCCTAGGCACTAGGGATGCAAGCATGCATCAGGCAGATCCTACCTAGCTCTCAGGCAGCAGTGAGGTGGCAGGGGAGGGAGGGGAAGGGGCAGTTTATTAACAAGCAAATAAATGTTCATGATAATTTCAGATTGTGAACCATGATTCAAAGAAAATAACACTGAGGGATATAAGCTGGGAGGGAGGTGTCAAAAAAGCCCTTAGATGGGGTGATCAGGGAGGCCTCTGAGGTGGCAGTGTCTGGGCTGAGATGTGAACGACAAGACAGAGCCAACGATGCCATCTCATCCAGAGCCTTCCAGGCAAGGGAAGGCTAATACGAACGCTTTCAAACAAGAACCAGCGGGATATGTGTGAAGAGCAGAGCAAAGGTCATAGTCTCTGTAAGCAAGAGAGACGTGGGAGCTGAGGACGGGGGAGCGACAGGGGCTACTCAAGGGAGACTGGTTGGGAAGATGGGCTGTGTTTGGGACTAGGGATTTTTTTCTAAGAACAATGGGAAGTATTTTTGTATTAAATTAATCTTTCAATAGTCTATAAATGCCTGAAGGTGTTGATGTAAGACATGGGAAGAAGGTCACTGTAAAAAGGGCCTGGACTTCTGCAGGTGACAGATCAGACTTCCGGGTCCCATCGCACCGCTCATGAATCGTGTGAGACCATAGGAAAATCACCTGACCTCTTTGAGCTTCTTTGCAAAATAAGAATAAAATGTTTCTCTTCCAAGCTCCCTTTAAGAATGAAATAAATCAAGGATTGTAGATTACTTAGAAGATTTCCTGGCATATAACAAGTCCACAAGAAATGTTAATTCCTTTCCATCCCATTTCCTGTCTCCTTCCTTTTGATTAAACGAAAGCTACTAAATTCCCATGTGCCACTAAATCTTCTATAATTTGAGATGCATGCAAATATGTGTACTATTGCATATCTAGTTCAGTAATATAGATATTCAGGTCTCCATGTTTGAATGCAGGCCAAATCTAAAAATGTGTTTGTAACTTACATGTGACTATTTACAAACAGAACTACCCACTTAATTTAAAACTAAATATGTACAAAACTGTGAAAGTAATAAATTTAAAATTAACCATGTTAATTTGAAGAGTAGAGAAAATCGATTGTCTGGAGAGACAAAATCATTTCACAACTGACTTCCCTTAGATGGAAGTACCAATTCAGTATTTAAAGAAATGTGGCTCATACCTGTAATCCCAGCAGCTTGGAAGGCCAAGGCAGGAGGATCGCTTGAGGGCCAGGAGTTCATGACCAGCCTGGGCAACATAGTGAGACCGCTGTGTCTGTAGAAAGAAAGAAAGAAAAAGAAAGAAAGGAAGAAAGGAAGAAAGGAAGAAAGAAAGAAAGAAAGAAGGAAAGAAGGAAAGAAGGAAAGAAGGAAAGAAAGAAAGAAAGAAAAGAAATCAGCAGGTTTTCAAATAAACACAAAATGATTTTGACATCTTTTTGCTATAATTTGGGGTTTTAGTCTCTGAAATTTTCAACAAAGCATTTTACATCTGATATTCTTTTGGAAGATTTGGAGAAGACTTAAATTGAATAGATATTGAACAACTATTTCAAACAACTGTTTCTAAGTGGTGGTCATTACTAAGTGAATGAGAATCTAGCAATCCTTCTCCTTTGCCCAGATCTGTAATTGCACTGTTTTATTACTAGAAACTTTTGAAACATTGCTACATTTAGCCTTTCTATAACTTCTTGCCCTCGATACCACCTAGTTCTGTAATCCTGAACCTCACAAGCTAATACATAAATGATGACATTCCTCTGAGTGAAGGCCACACAACACCACAGCAAGAAAAAGAATTTCACTGTGTATGTTTGGAACAGAGAAAAGAGGTATGAGAATTGACTTGTTCCATGCCACTTGTTCACTCATATATTTATTTTCTCTGCAAAGAGCATTTGGCACCTGGCACCTACTTTGACCCAGACACCGCTCAGGAAGTTCAAATAGAACAGTAAACAACACAGACCAAAGCCTCTGCACCCCGGGGAACATGCTTTCTAAGGGATTATATGTTCATTACGTGAGGACATGACGGAAAGCTATGTCATCTAAAACACTGCCTGGCACACTATGGAAGCAAAATTGGCAAGCTGGAACTATGGGTCAAATCTGATGAGAGTATAAATCCTGAAAAGATTATAAATTCAAAAACAGGTTTTAAAAAAAAACTTCAGAGATAATATGCGGAGAGGCCAGGCACGGTGGCTCACACCTGTAATCCCAGCACTTTGGGAGGCCAAGCGGGTGGATCACCTGAGGTCAGGCATCACCTGAGCTGGACATGGTGGTGGGTACCTGTAATCCCAGCTACTCGGGAGGCCGAGGCAGGAGAATCGCCTAAACCCAGGAGGTGGAGGTTGCGGTGAGCCAAGATTGCACCACTGCACTCCAGCCTGGGCAACAAGAGTGAAACTCCATCTCAAAAAAAATAAAAAATAAAAATGAAATGTGGGGAGACTGTGGTACACTACGTACACTCATGGAAAAGATTTAGGAGCTTTTGTTGACTATAAGCACAATACAAATTGATACTGAGACGTGGGTTTCCCCAACATGAAAACTTTTTATGCTTTCTCCAAAGCAGGAAACGCAAATCCTACCTAACTCTTATCATCAGCGCACCCGCAAGTGTCATCGGTGTTTTGGTACCACACATCATCTCTCTAAGACAGAGAAGTTGGATGGTGAACCAAGTGAAAATATTTTCTTTTCTTTGAGACAGGACCTTTCTCTGTCACTCAGGCTGCAGTGTAGTTGCGTAATCTCAGATCACTGCAGCCATGACCTCCCCCAGCTCAGGCAATCCTCCCAGTTCAGCCTCCCAAGTAGCTGGGACTACACATGCCACCACGCCTTGCTAACTGTGTTTTATTTTTTGTAGAGATGTGGTCTCACCATGTTGCCCAGGTTAGTCTTGAACTCCTGGACTCAAGTGACCCTCCTGCCTGGGCCTCCTAGAGTGCTGGGATTACCAACATGAGTCACCACACCTTGCCTGAAAATATTTTCATGCAACATCATATGGAAGTGGAATTAGATTCCTTCTGTGAGATTCGAGATTGCAAAACTTGGTGGGATTAAGTGCTAGAAGTCATGGAAGGGCCATATTTAGCAGTGAACATTCTGATAGCTGTGTCCACAAATTAAATGGGCTGATTGTTGAATATCCCCAGAGGATGTCCAAGCAGATGTCAAAGTTATTATGGGGAAAATTATTCACTGGGTCAGAGGTTAGACTAAATGACTCAAGGACCCTGGCCATGTCCAAGAGTCTATGAATTTAAAAGCAAAAAATGCACCACAATGAGATGAATCTTTCAGGGGTAATGGAAACATGACTACAAAAATGACTTTTTGGACATAAAATGTCATCTCCCGGTTTTCCTTTGCAGATGGCATCTTATTTTGGATATACTGTGGTCATATCAGATGTAAACAGCGATGGGTAAGTTTCTAGACCTCCCTCATATATAATACGCTGTATTCATCCATAAAGATGTTGTGTTTTCCCTTCACAAAATACATCCTTCCTTACTGCTTCAACAAGATAGAGGCTCTCTTGTTCTCAACTTTTTTTGGTTTACGACAAGAGGATGCATCTATTAAATAATTCTCTTTCATCTGATTTTGTCTTTACTGAGATTTTCCACATCTGCTGCTTCTAGAAGAGGACTATTTTATTTTGTTTTAATTTTACAGAGTCTTCAGCCATTCAAAATCCATAGCCACTGAGGACATTCATCTATCTCTCCTCACTCTTAGAATGTTCCCCAGCATGTGATACATTCACAAAGCGTTTGCACGTAAATGGATCTTTTTTGACATTGCTTTAAAAATGTATTATACTATTAACACTCATGGAAAAGATGAAATTATAATGTTATTTTTCAGATTACAGTAGTAAAATTACAGTTGAACGTGGACCAAACAGCACGGTAAATTTTGGTTGTGTTTAAGTCATTATTTCAAAAATAAATTATGATTAAACACCCCTTTGATTCACTAAAAGCACCTGACAGGTAAATTAATGAATCATTAAATAAAAAACCATTAGAATGAGATATATTGATTATCCACCCCAAATATTACTGGGTCACCCACCATGTGCCAGGCTTTGTTCTTGGTGCCCAGAATACACAGGCAAATAAGACAGATGGGGTTTCTCAGGGAGCTCACATTTTCACAGAAAGCAAATATCTGAAGAATCCTTACTATGTTCTAGGCAATGGGTTAAGCACTTTAGATATATCTTTGCTAGATATTTTCTGTGGCCTTCAAATAGCTATCAATTGACTTTATTTATTTTGTCATGGCATTTAATTGGAGATAAATTTCATACCTGTTGGGAAATATATTTCTATTATTCTTTCATTGAATATAAACTTCTTGAGCATCTACTATGCACTAGCAGGCAGTGTTCTAGGCGCAGAGAAACCCGTAACTTCATGAAAGTTATACTAGAGTTAGGAAGGTAGGCACTACAAAAATTAACTGAGTAAAGAGTATGTTAGATAGTTATAAGGATTATGGAGACAATAAAACAAAAGGGCTGAAAGCAACCAAGTAGATTAATACATAAACCCGGATACATCCTTATAATTGAATTTTACTCAGTGCTAAAAAGAAATGAGCTATCAAGTCATGAAAACACACAGAGGGGCTGAGCGCAATGGTTCCTGCCTGTAATCCCAGCACTTTGGAAGGCTGAGGCAGGTTGATCACCTGAGGTCAGGAGTTCGAGGCCAGCCTGGCCAACCCCGTCTCTACTAAAAATGCAAAAATTAGCCGGGCATGATGGCGAGTACCTGTAGTCTTAGCTACTTGGGAGACTGAGGCAGGATAATTGCTTGAACCTGGGAGGCAGAGTTTGCAGTGAGCCAAGACTGCATCATTGCATTCCAGCCTGGGCGACAGAGTGAGACTCTGTCTCAACACACACCCCCTAACTGCATATTGCGAAGTGAAAGATGCCAGTCTGAAAGATCTGCATTCTATGTTATTCCAGTTCTATGACATTCTGGAAGAGGCAACACTATAAAGATAGTAACAAGGCCATGTTTCCCAGGGGTTCTGACGGAGAAAGTTATGAACAGGTGAAGCACGGGACTTTTAGGGGAGTGAAATGACTCTGTATGATACAGTAATAGTGGATACGTGTCCTTATTATATATAATTTGTTAAAACCCATAGAAGGTTTGATACCAAGAGTGAATTCCATGTAAACCATGGCCTTTGGCTGACAATGACGTATGAATATAGGCTCATTGATTGGAACGAATGTGCGCCTCTGGTGGGGGATGTGATGGTGTGCAAGTTTGTAGGGTGAGGAGAGGGTAATGGGGGAACTCTATGCTTTCTGCTCAAATTTGCTTTGAATCTAAATAATCTAAGACTGCTCTAAAACATAAAGTCTGTTAAAAAAAACTTGTTAAAATAGAGAGGAGAGATAGGGAGCATCTGAAGGGATGGAATCCCCAATTGGGTAGATTGTGAAAGTCTAACATTCCAGCTGAAGGGTCGGGCGCAGTGGCTCATGCCTGTAATCCTACCACTTTGGGAGGCTGAGGCAGGTGGATCACCTGAGATCAGGAGTTTGAGACCAGCCTGGCCAACATGGTGAAAGTCCATCTCTACTAAAAATACAAAATTAGCTGGGCATGGTGGCTGGCACCTGTAGTTCCAGCTACTTAGAAGACTCAGGCAAGAGAATCGCCTGAACCCGGGAGGCAGAGGGTACAGTGAGCCGACATTGTGCCACTGTACTCCAGCCTGGGCAACAAAAGCAAATCTCCATCTCAAAAAAAAAAAAAAAAAAAAAAAAAAGATTTCAGCTGAGGAAACACCTAAAGGAGGTGAGGACCAGCCATGGCGATGTAAGGGGGAGGAAGGAGTGTTCCCTGTGGAAGAGCAAAAGGTGCGTATTCCCTGAGTGGGGAGCTCCAAGCATATTCAAGAACCAGTGGAGAGGCGTGAAGAGTGAACTGTGGGGAGCTGGATCATGAAGGTGCAAGTCACTGCATTTACTCCAAGCCACCACACGGCACCACACAAACTCTCCCATGGACTACAATGAGTCCACTTCCAAGAAGGCTAACACGCCTGTGAGCCACAGGGATTCCAGGTGAGCAGTACCTGCTCAGGCTTTGGTGTGATCAGCAGTGCTCTGTCTACCAGCTCTAGATGGCCACGGAGCCTTCTGGAAGCTTCCTGCCATGCACCAGGGGAGGCAGGACAGTGGCTTGGAGGGCAGTGAAATGACTCTGTATGCACAACAGCAGTGGCGGGAGATGGCAGCTTGCACTCTGCGTATATTTCGAAGTTATAGTTGAATCCCAATCTTATCCTGAAAGCAGTTAATTTAAAAATAAATTGCCTTCATCTTCAGATATCTAAGTTGTAAAAATAAAGTAGTCATTAGGACTGTCATTCAAGATTTCCAACTTAGGTGGACTGTAATTGTAATCAAAGCCTTTTAGTCATTTGGAAAGAAAACAGCTGAAGAAGGACTTGAGGCAAACCTAGCATGCTGTCCAGATTTCTTGAGCGCATGCTACAGGGGAAACAAAAGACCCCACTGCGGCCTTTCAGATGTGCATAGGCATGTTTCTTCCTGCAGATGGTCACCTACAAGCACCAGGGGCTTTTCCCCTGCTATATGGATCCACTCCTTTTTTGAATCCTCGGGACATTTCCCAAGTTTTGCCTTATGACCTGCAGGGCGCCCTGTTCTTCCTGGAAATGTGTAGTCTATAGCAAAGTTTTGTGACAACGTTTATAGTACATTTTTTTTGTCATGTTAAAAAAAAATTGTGAGCAAAGGACCTCATTGGCTTCCTGTTGATCAAAACACGGTAGTAACAAACACAGGACTTTTTATTTTTTATTTTTCGAGATGGAGTCTTGTTCTCTCGCCCAGGCTGGAGTGCAGGGGCACAATCTTGGCTCACTGCAACCTCTGCCTCCCGGGTTCAAGAGATTCTCCTGCCTCAGCCTCCTGAGTAGCTGGGATTACAGGTGCCGGCCGCCACGCTTGGCTAATTTTTTTGTATTTTTAGTAGAGATGGGGTTTCACTGTGTTAGCCAGGATGGTCTGGATCTCCTGACCTCATGATCCACCGGCCTCAACCTCCCAAAGTGCTGGGATTACAGGTAGGAACCACTGCGCCCAGCCCAGACTTTTTTAAAGTAATATTTTCTTCTTTCTTGATGTTCTTAAAAGTTGCTATGCATATTTTTATTATGTAGTATTTTCTGAATTCTTTAGACTGCATTGAAGAATATTTCCATTAACTTACTAATGCCATTCATAAAGTGTCCACAGATTCTCAGTATATCATTTGCTGTTTTAAGTTACTTACATGCTATGTAAATTCAAGGTCCTATTTTAAGTATGCTCTGGAAGTAATTGAGATTGGCCAAAGAAAGATGCCAGATAACCACTCAAGTGAAGTCTGAAATTACAATAATGATGATATATACAAGATATTTCACTGGGTTTAAAAAAATCACTTGGCTAGATCATTGCTCATGGTTCGGAAGTGAGGACTCCCCTGCGCACACACATTTATGGGCTTGAACCAGACTCTCCTTTCCCCAAGCCGGAGATAATTAAGTACATTTATGCAGGAGGCTCTCTAGTGAACATTCTTGGAAAACACATATTCCTTGAAAACTAGTCAACAGAAACAAGATCCCTAAAAAAGCTCCAAAATCTCAACGTCAGGAAAAAGTAAAAAGACAGTGTCAATAAGTAAAGTGACCCAATAAGTTAACTAGTGGAAATTTTCCCTGCTATTTTTCTGTTAAGAAAAATCTCCCAGTATGATTGACTGGACTGCCAACATTTCGTCTCAACAGTTGTGTACACGCTGGTTGATGGTTAAAATGTCAAGCCTGTGACAGTGTTGAAAATATAAACAAGCTGGGGAAATTATCTTCAGTTTTGGTATCTTAAGACTTCCAGTACTACAAACTCTGTCAGTATAAGCTTTGTTAGGAATTTCTGGACAAACTTGTTAACAACAAATGGATGACATTTTTTATCTCGTGCCTAAGCAAGCACATATGTTTTTTTCTTATGGCTTTTGAGCCTTATAATAGTTATACTGCTTCAGAAATTCACTGAATTACAATTTAATCCATTGGATACTTTCTATAAGACTGTTGTTTCTAACCTCTGCAGGACCAAAAGGAGCCAAATTTAAACAGATTCTTAGCAGTTAACTTGAGAACAATTTACAGAAAAATCTGTTTGAAAGCAAACAGCTTAGTGAACTATAATTTTTATGATAGATTTAGTCCAAGTATGTTCATTCATACAGGATGTATCATTATGATTGAATTAGGTAGAAAAATCTAAAAAAATTCAACCATAAAAAGGTTATAATTTCTGTAATGTAATTGAAGTGATGTTAGTTCCTGTCTATCAATTAGGTTGATTTGATATCTACTATATAGTCCACTAATGTGTATTTTTTTAATAACTAAATTCTGAATATTAGTCATGGGCATTAGCAGGCAAAGTGTACTAATGGAAAAAAAAAAGAAACAGAAAAGTTTCTATGTTAAAGCAATATATGCCTTAGCCTGTTTTCTGTTGCCGTAACTGAATACCTGAGACTGGATGATTTATAAAGAAAAAAAATGTATTTCTTATACTTCTGGAGGCTAGAAGTCCAAGGTCAAGGGGCTGCATCTGGTGAGGGCCTTCTTGCTGTTGGGGACCTACTGCAGAGGTCTGAGGTGGTGCCAGACATCACATGGCAAACAGGGCAAGAGCATTCCAGCTCTGTATTCCATTCCTCTGCCTATAAATCCATAGGTCCCATCTTGGGGCTCCACCTTGATAGCCTTCTCTAATCCTCATTACCTACTAAAAGGTTCACCTCCAAATGTCATCAATGTATGCATCTGAAGATTAAGTGTCCAATACATGAAATTTGGGAGACACATTAAAAGCATAGCAACTTATGCACACTGTTAGTTTGCCTGAAACTTCAACCCAGGCATGACTTTGTTGCTGCCTTCATCACCGTGTCTTTTCCAGAGTGTTACACAATTGGAATCATACAGCATGTAGCCTCCTCACATTGGCTTCTTTAACTTAGCAGTGTGCATTTGAGGTTCCTCCAGGTCTTTTTATGGCTTGATAGCTCACTTTTCACTGCTGAATATTATTGCCTCATATGATGTACCACAATTTGCTTATCCAGTCACCTATTAAAGAGTATCTTGGTTGCTTTCGAGTTTGGGCAATTATTCTATGCACATTTGTGTGCATATTTTTGTATGCATCTCTGTTTTAACACATCTGGGTAAGTGCCAAGGAGTGCGATTTTGTGATTGCATGGTAAGCCTATGTTTAGCTTTGTAAGAAACTGCCAGACTGTCTTCCAAAGTGGCTGTGTCATTTTGCATTCCCATCAGCAATGAATGAAAGCTGTTGTTCTACATCCTTGTCAATGTTGGGTGCCATCAGCATTTTGGATTTTAGCCACTCTAAGAGATGTGTAGTGGTATCTCATTGTGGTTTTAATTTGCAATTCCTAATGATATATCATGTTGAGTGTCTTCTCATAAGCCTTTTTGCCATCTGTCTTTGTTGATGAGGTGTCCATTCACATCTTTTGCCTAATTTTTAATTGGCTTATTTTCTTCTTATTGTATATCATATACATATAATATCAATTGTAATAATATATAATAATGATATATCTTGTTACATATTTTTTCTTGATCTGGTTGACTTTTAAGAATTCTTTGTACATTTTACTTTTACAATTAAATTAGTTGAAATGCCCCTAGCACCGAGCATGCCTACACACTTACTCTACCCTGACTCTACTCAGGGACCCTTGCCTTGGCTCACAACAATTCCTCCTGGAGAGCCCACTTCAGAATTCCACCCAGGTCCAATGCCATCACCTCCATGGAACCTTCCTTAGTTCCCTCCAAGTACCCAGCCTCTCCCTGGTCCAGGATACCCAGCATTAATTTGATTGTCTCATATTATTTTTCCCAGTCTACCTTGTTTATAGTAATATGGACAGTAATTTAACCTCATTTGTAAGTTATTAGGGAATGAATTTGTTGACCTAATAGTCATCATTACATTATTTAAACATAGGTATCAAAGTATCTTAAACATAAGAAGTACACAGAATGTCTTTTGATTCAGACGAAGACCCTAGATAAATACCACAAAGGCGGCCAGAAATTGAGAGAGGGTAGGTCAGAGTGATATTGGAGTATCTTTTAGACTGCTCAGATCTTAAAGAAAGTTTCTGGTTCTCAGTAACTGTTCCCACTTCATTCCTGCCTTTTGATATTAATTATATTAAATATGTATATGAGATACTTGATATGGAATGTTATTAATATATATTTGTTATTTATACATATTAATATATTATTGATTTTATTATACATGTATCAATGTTATTGATATAGCTTAATTTTTAGATAATATATATTAATATAGTATTGTTTTTAATCTATATAATATACTGAATTTATATAATTTTATATATTTCATACATTAAAGTATTAATATACATTGTTATATAATTTTATACATATTTTTTCTTCATATGGTTTTATAAATTATAATACTAATATATAATGCTAAATTATATTAATAATATTTTAATCAGTTTGCTTGGCAAACTTCACCATATTACCTAACCTACATAGGCATAAAAGTCAAATGCAAATATATATTCCTGTCTCAGGTCACCCTTCAGATTACTGCATCTGCCAAGACAGGGTATCTGCAGGCACACTTTATTGGAGACTATAAATGTAGATCAAATTATATATATATATATACACACATACACACACTTTTTTTTTGGCTGGTGTGACTTAAATTTTTAAAATAAAAATTACAGATTATACATTTTAAAAAAAATCAAATCGCTTAGAAGTCTCATGGTGAAGGTTCTCATTCTAGTCCTCTTCCTGCCCATCTGGCTCTGTGAAGGAAACACCTGTAACCACTCTCTGATTTTTTTTCTCCAGGTGGTTATATCTTTCTCTCAAAATAATTTGCTTGAACGTCTCTTAAATTTTTTTAACCTTAAAAATTACATATTAGTTTTTTGCTATAATCTACAAATCCAAAGAATAAAAATTTTTACTTGGGCTGCAAAGTTGTTTGCTACATTTCTAGCCAGCTTGACACACCTCTCTAATCTCTGTTTTATTGAAATTGAGCTAACAAAGGAAGGAGAAGGACAAAATTGATTTTAAACATGATTACTGCATAAAAACAGAGTAATTTAAATGTATAGTTAATTGCAGACAAACGCTAATCTATTTTTACAAAAAGCTATTTTGTTCTTTCCTGATATGTTTTCTTTGTATAACTACAGTTTCTGGAAATGTACTAAAAAGCTGAAAATGATGAAATATCTGTGGTTTTCTTAAAGTAGACATTTTTAACATAGCTAAGATGTTCAGTGTGAAAATTTAACAACTCTTATTTTCTTACAGCATTCTATTCCATAGACATAAAGCAGTAAAAGAAATATAATGATTGTAAAATGACCCTCAGGAGAGGAAAAATACCAATGGAAATGTACTGGTCTAGCTGATTACAAATACACCTAAAATAACTCTCCTACCTGCCAGTGTGCTGAACTGCTTTCTTTGCTCCTTACAGACTGGATGACGTCCTGGTTGGGGCACCTCTCTTTATGGAACGTGAATTCGAGAGTAACCCCAGGGAAGTAGGGCAAATCTACCTGTATTTGCAAGTGAGCTCTCTCCTCTTCAGAGACCCCCAGATCCTCATTGGCACAGAGACTTTTGGGAGATTCGGTAGTGCTATGGCGCATTTAGGAGACCTGAACCAAGACGGATACAATGGTAATTTAATCCAAAGTGTGGGAGTCATTTATGTGTCATCACTGTTTCATAAAGGAAACAATTCCTGTTTTAAAGTATTCAATATGGTGTGTGTGGGTATGTTATTATTACTGATTTTTAATAAACTATCACAAATCTCAAGGCAGCTTTACGTTTATACGTTTCAACTAACATAAACATTACATGGAAACTTCCCTTTTCACCTTTCTAAAAATTTTTACTTCCAATCTCACAAGATTACAATGTAACATAGACCTCAAATGATCCACCCGCCTTGGCCTCCCAAAGTGCTGGGATTACCAGTGTGAGCCACCGCGCCCGCCTGGCCACGCTCGTAGTTCTTTAGGATAGAATTTATGAAACCCGTCCAAGTACCCTCTCCTCAGAAAAACACAGTTCACACAAAATTTTGCATACATTTTCAGAACCTTTAAGTTTTGAGAAGCTAGGTATAGTGGGTTCCTTGATTAAAGTCAAGGAAGTAACAGGATCTTGCTCTAACAAAGTAGGCTTGGAAGCATTCACATCAGATTAGTATCGATTAGTATATTTGGCAAATGTTACTGTGTTCTTACACATTCTGTGATAAAACAGTTCTCAGTAGCATACGGTTAGTCATTTTTAAAGTACCATAAAACAAAGTACGTGTAAAAAGCTTATGGCTCCAGGGCTGGGTGCCGTGGCTTATGCCTAGAATCCCAGCACTTTGGGAGACTGAGGTGGGTGGATCACAAGGTCAGGAGTTCAAGACCAGCCTGGCCAACACAGTGAAACCCTGTCTCTGCTAAAAATACAAAAATTAGCCAGGCGTGGTGGCATGTGCCTGTAGTCCCAGCTACTTGGGAAGCAGAGGTAAGAGAATCTCTTGAACCTGGGAGGCAGAGTCTGCAGTGAGCTGAGATCATGCTACTGCACTCCAGCCTGGGCAACAGCGCTAGACTCCGTCTCAAAAAAATAAATGATTCTCTATATAGCATTTATTGCTTTTGATAATTTCTTATTTCTCCATTCAAATTGTCAATTACCTGTATTAGAATATAAGCTTTCTAAAAACAGGAGCTTTAAGTGTCTAATTTGCTGTTGTACCCACTACATTCAGCACACAGTAGGCTCTTAATAAATATTTGTTGGATGGATAAAGGCAATAAATAGTTTGTCATTGCAGCAGTGCTAAAGGATTTTCATGGAAAACATAATAAACCCTTTAGACTTTTTGATACCGCTTTTTGAATATGCTAAACTCTATTTCTAAACAATTCTTCTGTACTTAAAAAAGAAACGTCTCTATGGCCAGACACAGTGGCTCATGCCTTTAATCCCAGCACTTTGGGAGGCTGAGGTGATGTGCTCACTCAGGGCCAGGAATTCCAGACCATCCTGGACCAACATAGCAAGGCCCCATCTCTCCAAAAAAATAAAAAAGTAGCCGGACATGGTGGTGTGCACCAGTAGTCCCAGCTCCTGGGAAAGTTGGGGGAGGAGGAGCACTTGAGTCCAGGAGTTTGGGGCTGCAGTGAGCCATGATCCCACCACTGCACTCCAGCTTGGGTCACAGAGTGATGTCCTGTCTCTAAAATGAATAAATGAAGAAGTAAATACATACACACATAAACGATGCTTTTCTGACTCTGTTTTCAGACATTGCCATTGGCGTGCCCTTTGCAGGCAAGGATCAAAGAGGCAAAGTGCTCATTTATAACGGGAACAAGGGTGGCTTAAACACCAAGCCTTCCCAAGTGCTGGAAGGAGTGTGGGCCTCACAGGCTGTCCCTTCCGGATTTGGCTTTACTTTAAGAGGAGATTCAGACATAGACAAGAACGATTACCCAGGTAAGTTCTTCTTTCTTTTCCCACATGAGAGTCTACGTCCTGAAAAGGGTCCATTCTCTGGAAAATGCATCATGCGAAGGCAGTTCTCCTACAGATGAGGCTGAAGCTTAAGTGTGGCCCAGGCTTCTTTAATGTATGATTCCAGAGTGACTTTCACGAGAAATTGAAGAAAGATAAACACACACTTCCCTCTCCTGTCAAGAGAAAATGACAAAGGCAAAATGGCTTAAAAATCTGCATTGTACATAAAACTTGTCAACTTCACAGCCCATGTTTTCCTTTGAAACTCCGCAAAACCACGGCCTGCCCTGACAGAGACAGTTTTCATCCTTTATGGGCAATTTATTGTAATGCTTCTGAGCTCATAGCTCCTATTATAGTTTGAACCTCAGCATTTCTGTCATAAAGCTCATGTTTTTAAAGCACAAACATCTTCCAGCTTGGCCCATCACAGTGGCTCACGCCTGTAATCTCAGTATTTGGGAGGTCGAGATGGGTGGATCAGTTGAAGTCAGGAGTTGGCGATCAGCCTGGGCAATATAGTAAAATCTCTACTAATAATATGAAAATTAGTTGGGCATGGTGGTGGGCATCTGTGGTCCCAGTTACTTGGGAGGCTGAGGCATGAGAATCTCTTGAATCTGGGAAGTGGAGGCTGCAGTGAGCCGAGACAGCACCACTGCACTTGAGCCTGAGCAACAGAGTGAGACTGTGTCTCAAAAAATATACATATTTATATATTTATTTATATAATATATATTATATAAAATAGTATATATTATATATAAATAAAATACATACGTTTTATATATAACATACATAATATATAATATACATATATATACATATCTCCCAGCCATATTTTGTGGTTTTCCAAAGATATATTTTAAAGTGGAGAAAAAAGAACTGGTTCATTATAGGAATCATAAACTATTTTTTTTTTTTGGAGACAGAGTCTCACTCTGTCACCAGGTGGAATGCAGTGGTGTGATCTCAGCGCACTGCAACCTCCACCTCCCAGATTCAAGCGATTCTCCTGCCTCAGCCTCCTGAGCAGCTGGGACTACAGGTGCTAACCACCATGCCTGGTTAGTTTTTTGTATTTTAGTAGAGACAGAGTTTCACCATATTGACCAAGATGGTCTCTATCTCCTGACCTTCTGATCCACCTACCTTGGCCTCTCAAAGTGCTAGGATTACAGGCATGAGTCATTGCACCTGGCCCATAAACTGTTCTTGATTTACCTAATTCATATTGAAGGCACATGGAGAGCCATAAAGCACAGATAATTTATGTTTTGTGCCTGCTATATGAAGACATGGGTTTGTCTTAAAAGATGATTTAACTATTCAGAGTTTTAAGCCGAGAACATCAGACTTCTTGGTTTTATGGTTTGATTTTCACTTTTGTTATTTTAAGATGGTTTCAATAAGCACTTAGAAATCATTAATAGTTAAATGACAGCTTCAACTATTTATGAAAACCCTTTCCATAAGGTTTTCATAAATAGTTGAAGGTGTCTCTTTCCACCAGCCCCTGGTGTCTCTTCAGCTGGTGTCTCTTTCCACCAGCCCCTCCCCTAACTGGGAATTTTCCATATGCAGAGCTATTTTTTTGGTTTGCGGCAGTAGCACAATAAGCTCACCGCCTAAATACACATCATTAATTTCAGGCCTTTGGCTTTGCCTCCCCTGGGGTTAGACAAAAAGGATACCGCAACGTATTCTTATAAATTTGCCATAAACCTTTCATGACGCTAATGGAGATGTCATAGCAGGCTCCAAGCGGCTTTGGTATTAGATCGTACGCTAAAGCTTTCTACCTGTGGCAATTTCAAGAACATCTAGTTAAATTTATTTTCTTAGGTTACATTATGCTAATCAATGGTGGTTAGTTGTTGTTATTGGGGGGAGGTTTGTGTACATAATGTATCCAAATTTAAAATAATTGAAGAATTTAGGTCCCTTATGTAATTCCCACCCCAAAATGTCAGGGTGATTAATGAAATTCAGTTCCTGGGTTGCATTTTAGGTAAAAAATTAGAAAATTATTTCTATTTATTATGGTAGTCATAGGTTTACTTCCTACCCTCAGTACCAGGGAACTTGACAGAAAGGCTGTGCCTTCGATGAGGCAAAGGAAATAGAGGATGTATCCGTCACATGGTCAGCCCATCAACTTCCTTTGAAGGCTAAACATATCCCAAAGGAGAGCCAGGAAGGAGAGTGGCATGAATCAACTTTTCTCCCCAGGAATGTTCCCTTTAGGAAGAAAAAATTTAAAAGCAGCAGGAAAAGGAAAAGAAACTGAAGTATGTGCAATGTCAATAATTCATTACCTATTTTTTTTCTTTCTTTTTTTTTTGAGACAGAGTTCAAGCGATTCTTCTGCCTCAGCTTCCCAAGCTGCTGCGACTACAGGCACATACCACCATGGCCAGCTAATTTCTGTATTTTTAGTAGAGACGGGGTTTCACCATATTGGCCAGGCTGGTCTCGGACTCCTGCCCTCGTGATCCACCCCCACCTCAGCCTCCCAAAGTGCTAGGATTACAGTAGTGAGCCACCAAGCTGGACTTTTTATATTTTTTTGAGATGGAGTGTAGTGGCACAATCTCGGCTCACTGCAACTTCCGCCTCCCGGTTTCAAACAATTCTCCTGCCTCAGCCTCCCAAGTAGCTGGGACTAGAAGCACACGCTACCACGCACAGCTAATTTCTGCAGTTTTAGCAGAGACGGGCTTTCACCGTGTTGGCCAGGATGATCTCAATCTCTTGGCCTCGTGATCTGCCCACCTTGGCCTCCCAAAGTGCTGGGATTACAGGTGCGAGCCACTGCACCCGGCCAATTACCTCTTAATTGTATCTCTTTTTTTCTTTAGCAATCAGAAATGTTCACCTGAGGCCATTTGCTAGTCAACAACTTTATCTGCTGAGTGTGATGCAAATGATAATAATCAGAGATGTCAGTGCAGTGTGTCTGTCTCTGAAATAAATGTTCTTTACTAAGGTAGGCCTGTCAGTGCTGCCTGGTTGAATTTTTATCCCTCAAGAGAGTCTTAAGGCTTTCTGAGTTCATCCATGCATGTTAGTAGACCTGGGTTCTAGCCTCAATTCTGCCTCTCAGGTAGGAATATGGATGTCTTGTGATTCATGATTCTATAATATTTTTCTCTGATCCTCATCCTCTAGCAAAAAAAAAAAAAAAAAAAAAAAAATGCAATTCAAAGAAGCCTTTTTAACAAGATCCCAGGACTTACAAAGAAACTGCCTTATAGGCAGGCGACTAGATTTTCTTAACTAGTTGATTGAAAGCTGCAGACATAGTTCAGGAATCAGACATGTAACTTCATTTTCCTAGGAATGAATTCCACTCGGCTTTCAAAGCCTCCATTTCCACCACGGTAGAAAATGTCCATCTTGCAATCACTTCTAGGTTTAGACTTAATCTTATTTAGGTAAATATTTATTCAGATTCAAATCCCTTTAGCCAGGCGTGGTGGTACGCATCTGTAGTCCCAGCTACTCAGGAGGCTGAGGCTGGAGAACCGCCTGAACCCAGGAGGCGGAGGTTGCAGTAAGCCGAGATCATGCCACCATACTTCAGCCTGGGCAACAGAGCAAGACTCCCTCCCCCCCTCAAAAAAGACTCTTTTTTTCCACCCTGTGTAGCCACCCTCCCAAGGAATGGAGTAGAAAGCCGTATACCTGTTGTCCAGAGATTGGGAAGCGCTTACGGGCTCACATCCATCACCTGCTACTGTTGGCTTCAGACTAAAGAGTAGCTCAGTCCTTTGTGGTCTTTGGGGCATTGCTCACGCGTCTGTGGCTAGTTCCATGGTCTGTGCAGTGACCTCTGCTCAAACGTTCCCTGTGTCCTGGGCCCTTTTCATCCTCTTTTAGCCTCTCTCAGTCCCCTCTTAGCAAGTGCTTCTGAGCCACTGTTAGGACTCAGACGCTCACAGATTGGGTATTCAGGTTTCTGTGATTGCCCTCAGGCTGATCCACCTCGATTTTCCTTAGCTGTTGCCAGTTTCCACCCAGGCATCTCATTGCTCCAGCCACGGATTGAGCTGCAGTCTTACGCTGTGTTGTCTGGGAAGTACCAAAAGCCTTCTTTCCCTTAAAGGTAATGGGGTGGCATGCTTTCTAAACTCTGTAGTTCACTTGATAAACAGTATGTTCTAGGCCCCCATGACTTGTTTTGTGATTTTCCAAACCAGTGCTTTTTAGAACTTAGAATTTTCTTTCATGCTGCGGTCCTGCTTTTTCGAATCAAAAGCATTTTGCCTTCACGATGTGAAGTAAATGCACCTGAGAGCAATAGCCTCGGCATACCCCAAGAATGACCCCGGGTGGCACGCACACCTGAACGCGGTTGGGAAATCCGAGCCAGGGAATCTGGGAGTGGCCAGCCCAGAGTCCATTCCGTGTCTATGAGGAAGACCGGAAGCCTGGGCCTGTCGTGTGGAATGCAGGACATAGAGGGGATTGAGGCCCTTTGTGTTTGGATTAAATGAAAGTTGCCAGGTGGAGGTTGTCTGCAGAAGGAGACTAAGCGAAGATGCTCTATAAACCGCATGCATTTTGCAGGTGGTTGCAGTTCTCTTGCCCAGCCCTCTACCTCTGGACTCTCTCCCCTGGACCAGGGCCCTCAGTGAAACCTCGCTTCTCACTTGCTCGCTCTGTTTTTCAGCTTCTTGAATATTCTGCCATCTCTGCTGGCGTTGATAGGGGTTTGATGCAACACAGGGTCCTGTGCCTTCTCAGTGTCATAATCTATTCAACATATTGGCTTCCTCCATCTGAAATCTATCTCGTCAGCCTTTATAAACAGGAGTTCGCAACCTTGGCTACACATTAAAATCACCTGGAAAACTTTTAAAACTCCAAATGCTCTTGCCTGTAATCCCAGCACTTTGGGAGGCCGCGGCGGGCGGATCATGAGGTCAAGAAATCGAGACCATCCTGGCCAAGATGCTGAAATGCTGTCTCTACTA